AACTTGTTCTCAGAGAGAAAGTCCAGTATTTGTATCATCACGGAAATACTGTGTTCGTGGACTGGAACAGGAACTGCTCTGACCATGCTCCTCCTCGGTGTGTGTCTTACTGAATGAAGTTGCTGTGAGTGAGAAAGTTAAATATATGCTAATTTAAAAATGCAGATGTTTTGCATTTTATTTCTACCAAGAATTGAAATGTTGAGAGATGATTTAAAAAAAATAATAAAGTGTCTTCCATTATTAAATAAAGTGTTTGTGGTTTTATGTTGCCCTTCCCTGCTGCTTTGAAGTTTGAGTTGCTCGGTTTTCCCCCCTCAAACTATATTTAGTTCTTTAATAACGTTTTCTTCTTCATGAAACTGACAAATAATAAGAGCCAGCATTTGAGTGCTTATACTGTGAGCTAGGCACTTTATATGCTGAGACTTTACATGCTAGATCTTATATAAGTCTCAACACTCCTATAAGATTACAGATGGGGAAACAGGTATACGGAGTTCAGTCATGTTGCCCAGGAGAAATTACTGTTGGTGGTGACTGACAGGCATTAAATAATATTTGAAGGATGTAATGAAAAAAATTAATTGCATTTTTAATTCTTTCGATCCATTTAAATGCCTCAAGGAGGAAGTCAGTTTAATGCTAGCTTGTCTTTAACAAAGAGAAAGCAGGTGTCAGGCTCAGAGCCTTTGGCAGAATCTTAGCTAGGTTTTCAGTTACCTTCTTTTTAGTATAGGTGTACTGGTTTTCCATCTACAGCAATGATAGGAGATTCCTTTAAAAATAAATTTAAGATGTTTTTTTAAAAAAATGGTTGACTCAAAAGCAAAATATATGGCAAAAATCTTAAGGATGGTATAAGAGCAGTGGTTATTTGGGATGTCCTGTGCCCACGATGTTGAATCCACTGCTGGGTTGGCCCCACACAGTGGCTCAGCTGCAGGGGAAGAGACTGAACAGGTTTCTCCATTTCAGGCACTGGTTGAACAAATATCCAGGCCTGGGGCCATATCAAAGGCCCAGGTGCTGGGTTTGGTTTTAGCTATAGCATAGGAAATGGCTCCCACCATCCTGGCTGTCAGGAGCAGCAGCTCCTAGAGGTGAACACCCAGCCTGGGAGAGCAAAGGAAGCCACACACTCGCTGCTGCATCCAAAGTGGAGAGGAGACTTCAAGCAGATTGCTTAATTTGTATATGTAAATGACAGCATATTTAAACATCATCAGGCCCACCAGATGTCCATTAGCTCGGCTGCCAGCTCCGAGCACCCATCTGTGGCACCCACATGCCTGTACCAGTGTCAGAGGGATGAGAGCTGCAGCAAATTGAACCTTGATCTCCATTCACCCTTTCTCCCTTGATAATGGAAGCCCTGATTTTCAGACATAGCCATCCAGAATAAAAATGGCCTTTTCCAGCCTCTCCTGCAGCCAGGCATGGCCATATAACTGTCTGGTCCCTGGGATACAAAAGTGCTTTGTGTGACTTCTAAGATGTCCTTCCCACCCTGCTCCTCCTCCCTGGCTGGAGAGGCCGTGGTGCTGGTTGGAATGGGGCAGCCACATGAAACTCAGGTGGAAGCCAAATGAACAGAGGGTGGGACAGTAGCTGGAAGGGTTGGGTCCCGGATGCTGTTATCTTTCTTTTTCTTGTTTTTATACTTTTTTTCATTTTTATTT